TTCGCGATCCTTCCGCCTCAGCCTTCTGAGTAGCCGGAATTACAGGCATGCGCTACCACACCAAGCTGATTTTTTGATTTATTGTAGAGATGAGGTCTCGCTGCCCAGGCGGGTCTCGAACCCGCGGGCTCAGGCAATCCACTCACCTCAGCCTCCCAACGGCGCGGGATTACAGGCTGAGCCACCGAGCCCGGCTGACCTAATATTTCTTAATTAATACATTTAAAATTTAGCCTTTATTAAGCCAGGTTATTAGTTTATAGTGTTTTTATAGTGCTCATGTTATAGTTTTAGAATTTGTCTTTTATTTTAAAGTATGTTTCTAGTCTATAACTGTATTATAACTTTTTAAAACAATAACATCTTAGGTTTTAAGATACTGCCTGATTTCGTTAATTAATGTATTTCTCTTTAATAATATAACATTTTAATTGAAATTAATTATTTTGTAGAACAAAATTGATAACAATATTTTATAATATGTAGATATAATTTTACTGGTTGAACTTAAGAATATCAGGATAGAGTTTATGTTGCATTTGTCATTGCTCATAGTTTTAAAATTATGGTTATCACTTTAAATCTACTTACATTTAAAAATTTTTGACCTAAGCTGCCAAATTTTTTGCCAAATATATTACTTGATTACAGCGATGATAATGTGTAAATGAAAAAATTGGAAAAACACTTGCCATAGTTATACACATTTATTTTTCAGAAAGAAGTACATGATTTGGAAATACAATTAACTGCCATTATGACAAGCGAACAACAGTGTTCAAAACAAGCTAAAGATCTGAAAACTGAGCTTGACAATGAGAAGTATGTTTTCCATCTATCTACAAATAGTATAGATATTCAATTCCTAAACTTGCTAGAATAAATAAGTTGGTAAATTATGTTCAGTATTTATTTGAATGGATGTGCAATTGTATTTGCTTCTAATTGAAGATAGAAATAATTTAGCAACTTCATTGCTAAGGGAAGTACACATCACTGGCATAAAAGAGTACATCACAAAGGTGATAACCAATCAATGTATTACTTTTTTTGGAGTTATTTAGTTCCCCATAAAAATAATCACTTGCATTCTAACTAGTTATTTTGGTTGTTTTCCTAAATTATTTCATGGGTTTGATTTGATAAAAATGTCAAAATACGAATTCATTTCTTAACATTGTCCAAGTAAAATATTTAATTGAATGATTTCACCTACCCAGTAAGTTTAATTTGGAGAGAGAATAGGGGAAATAATTATTGTGTTATCGCTCAAAGAAAAGTAAATTCAAGTATCTAATCTAGTGTTAAGCATTATTTTTTTCTTTTTTGGTTGCTTCTCAACTCTAGATAGAAGTGAAAAGTAAACAGTTTATGTTTTCCTAAAAAGGAAACAGTTTCTTTTTGGCTTCCACTTCCTGTTTGTGGTACCCTTTCAACAATACTCTTTTAGGGACCCTAGGTAAAATTCATCTATTAACCAAAATCATCTTTAGAGAATGGATTGGTTAGTTATTTTTAGTGTAAATTTATTTTATCCTTGGTATATTTGCTTTTTGACCTTTCATTGAGTAATGAAAAGCTTTCTCCTCTTTGATGAATTTCTAGCATCATTAAGTAGGAATAGATAGTAGATGCTCCTGAAATCACTCCATAGAGCCACATACTCTTCTGCATTCATTTAAAATTGATCCTGGCTGCAACTAATAACAGCAATAATCTCTCTTCCAATGTAGACCATTTGAGACCTTGTAAAAACAGGTTGAGTATTGTGCACAAAAGTTAAATCTAGTTTCATGTATTTTAAAGAAAATATTTAAATTAAAGCTAGCTCATGCCTCATGTACTACTTTTATTCCAATTATAAGAAGTTTGAAACAGTGTCTAAGACATAGTCTATTAGAGAAAAAAATTATGTGAAGAAAATAATGTGGAATTTGTGGAAAAGTGTGAGGGAATGAGATTGTGGGGACAATACAAGGAAGTATATTGTATGATATTTTGAAAACTCATTATAGAAAATTTTCAAGCATATAAGAAGAGAGACTAATGTAATGTAATAAACTACCAGCATGAACCCAACTTCAGGAATTATTAACCAGCGGCCAATTCTGTTTCATTTGTATACCAGCCCTTTCTTTCTTTTCTCTAATAATATTTTGAATAAAATTCCATAGCATATCATTTCATATGACACTTTTTAAAAATAGGCTTAAGAATACTGAATTAACTGCAAGCTGCAACAAGTTTTCACTAGAAAACAAAGAACTAGCACAAGAAACAAGTGATATGGCTCTAGAACTCAAGAAGCAGCAAGAAGACCTTAATGTGAGTTGAGAAACTAATGGTGACTTAATATTCTTACCTGTAAAATTAGGGTATTAGAATAGATGACTGCTGAAGATCCTTTAAGCTTTAAGTGTCTGATTGTTTTTGAGTTGAAACTTTGTTTTAAAAGAAGAATATGCATGTTGGTTTTAGATGGTGGCAATGGGCAACAGAGGTGACCCACTGATAATATAGAGGCTACTCATAAGTAGAATTAATCTAATCTAATTAATCATCCAGATTTAAAAAAATTATTTAGTCAAATTTTTATGAAGTCATATAAGAATACAATGATGAATACAATATCATCCTTTCTCTTTAAGAACTTGTAACAGTAGAAAAGTAGTAAATGCTCACATAACTTAAACAAAATAGTATGTCATATATGTTGTTAGTGGCTAATGAGAGTTTGCAGTATCACTTCTGCTTTGGTTGAAGAGAAGTCTTCAGAGAGAATATAGCATCGATTTTGACCTTAAAAGACGAATTATGAGTTCAGTAGGTAACAATGAATGGAAAGCATTCCTTGAAGCCACAACAATATGAACAAAGGCTACAAAGCTCAAAGTAGTGGGGAAACAGCAAATAAGACTTGTTCTCTTAGCTGTTATATGGATTGTTAAGAGAATAAAGTAAAGCTGCAAAAGTAGTATAGAACGATGCAAACTAAATAGCCCAGTCTCTTGTTTTGTATACAACTAAATACATTTTTATGCTGACAGATAAAGGTCTTAAGTAGTAATTTCAGTTTATTTTTGTTGAAGCAAAGTAATTAATATTAATAATTTTTTTTTTTTTTTTAGAATAGCAAAAAGCAAGAGGAAAGGCTGTTGAAAGAAATAGAAAATCTGGAAGAAACAGAAACACAATTAAGGCAAGATCAATGAGTTGGCCTTTTTTGTTTGGCAGAAGATTTTGATATTTCTTTTTAATTAACTTTTCAATGTTAATTTAGATTTAACTTTATATGATGAACATCATATAAAGTAAAAAATTAGATTTAAATTACTGTTTTGGAATCCTACCTAAAAATGAAATTTTAATAATGTGTATCTTATACTTAATGCTGAAACAGTCAGTGCGGTTAGACAAAGTAATTTTAAAGTATCATAAACTTTCTAGTTATTTAATATTCAATTAAGAAAGTAACACTAATTATATTTTTTAAATTTAGAAGAGAAATTTTAAAAATTACTTCTAATCGTATCTACTATTATAATATTGGAGTGTTATTTATACCTACTCTATATTTTAAGGAATATATTTGGTCCTTGCTTGTAATCATAGCTATATAATTTTATATATGACTCTTCCATTTTATATTACTTTTAGCATTATTCATGCTCTTAGATGTTTTCACAGTTATCTATTTTAATGCCTATATGCCAATTAGTCAAATGGATGTAAATAATATTTATTTTAATAGTTTTTAGTTTTGGGTATTTATATTCTCCAGTTTTCTATTTTTGTAATTAATGTGGTAAACATGTTAGCACACACAATATTTTTCCTTCTTTTAAATTTGATAGTGTAAATTTCCATTAGTATAATTTATTAGGTCATAGGAATAATGATTTCAATGACTTGATAGTTAAATGGTTTCCAAAAGTTGTATCAGTTGTAAACCATGCTATACAATCAATATTATATGAAAATGCTGGTTCTAAGATGTTCTAATTGATATTAGTAATTGTCATGTTATTCTTATGATTTGTAATTTTTATTTTTGGATAAGTTTTAGGATTTTTTATGTTTGCTTATTAGAATTTTTAATTGTCTGCTTATACCTGTTACACTTTTAATTTTTAAAGATATTTATTGTTTTTTAAGTTGACTTTAAACTTTGAAAAATATATTAATCTTTTATCTATTTTATTTACAGTATATATTTTGTCTAGCCTGTTGTTTTCTTTAACTTCAGAAAAATACCTGTTATAAGGGAGTTTTAAATTTTGTGTTATATTTGATTGTCTTTTCTTTTGTGATTTTACCATTGCTTTTATAATTTGAAATTTCTTGACTACCTAAAATCAGATATTAATTTTTATTTATTTATTTATTTATTTATTTATTTATTTTGAGTTGGAGTCTCACTCTGTCACCCAGACTGGAGTGCAGTGGCCGCTCCCAGCCACCGCAGCCTCGACGTGCTGGGCTCCAGCGATCCTTCCGCCTCAGCCTTCCAAGTAGCCGGAATTATAGGCACGCGCTACCATGCCCGGCTGATTTTTTTTGATTTACTGTAGAGACGAGGTCTCACTGCCCAGGCGGGTCTTGAACCCTCGGGCTCAGGCAATCCACTCACCTCAGCCTCCCAAAGACGCGGGATTACAGGCTGAGCCACCGAGCCCGGCTTAATTTTTATTTAAAAGATTGTATATTGATATTTAATTTACCCTGTTCTTTTTAAGTTATCAAAACATTTAAAACCATCAGTTTAATTCTGAACACAACGATGAGTTTATGGCATAAGTAGTGTTCCCATGTTTAGTATTTCTAAGTAGAAATGTTTTTAAATTTTAAATTTCCTTTTCTTTTATTTATTTTATTTTTTGAGTTGGAGTCTTACTTCGTCGCCCAGGCTGGAGTACTGTGGCATGCTCACGGCCACCCCAGCATTGACTTTCTGGGCCTCAGTGATCCTGCCACTTCAGCCTTCCAAATAGCTGGAACTACAGGCACGTACTACCATGCCCAGCTAATTTTTTAATTTATTGTAGAGACGAGGTCTCGCCAAGTTGCTTGGGCTGGTCTCAAGTTCATGGGCTCAGACAATCCACTCGCCTCGGCCTCCCAAAGTCCTGGGATTACAGGCTGAGCCACCAAGCTCTGCCAAATTTCCTTTTAATCTATTAGTAACTTGGATGATTTCCAAATATTTGGGAGCTCTTGTTTGTACTTACATTCTGAAGTATTCAGTTTTTGTTTTTTACATTGGTTAAAGAATGTGCTCTTTAAAATTTCCTCTTATTTTAAATTATTTGAGATCTTCTTTTGACTTCGTATGCCTCCTTTATAGGATTGTTTCAGGATTATATGAAGTAATGTGAATATAATGCACAGTACCTGGTGCATAATCCATGCTTAATGGTTTTAGCTATTACTGTTTTCCAGATTTGAAAAGTCATTGTTCTTTATATCTCTGAGGATTGGTTTTATCCTTTTTGCTCAATTTTTTTCTTTGGAGCTTGCTGTTATTTATAAATTGAACCTCTATGATTAAACTACTGTACAGTTTGGAGATAAAAGGTGAAGACATATTTTAGAGAGAGACTGCTTTGTCTTTAAGAGAATTCAAATTATTTGGACAGTACCTTCTTTGCACATCTACTTACTATATGGACTTATAGAACTGTAAATACAAATATACATAAGAACAGTAAGAATATACAGATTGAAAATTTAATACTGAGTTAAAGAGTAAATATTCTGTATTCAGTTTTTACTTGGCTATTTTACACAGTTGAACACTATTCCATGCTCTGGGTTACACCCAGCAACATATTAGTGGTAACAAGGGAGACTACTATTAGAAAAATAGCTTCAAGTATCCACCAGAGAAGAAGCACCATTATTTTCATGTACAACAGATAGATATTTAATTTAAATATTTTGAAGCGATAACATGGTGCATATGGTACAAAATTCAAAAGGATGAAGGAGCACATAAGGAAAAAAAAGTTTATTTCTTTACCTTTATCTTTCTCCTGTACAATTTCCATCTCCAGAGGTAATACTGTTTCTTTCATATGTTTCCAGAGATACTCTATGTATATGCAATGATATATGTGTATGCAAATATCTCAGACAAGTAGCTCTACAATATTTATTATAGATTTATATTTAATAAAAGTTATTTTTATTTATGTTCCTAGCTTATGTAAAATTATGAATCATTTTTAGAATAATAACTAGTTTATAAATTAAAAACATTAAAATTAAATCTTGACTTAAGAATTAAGTGTTTCTTTTCAGGGTTTCTTTAATTTGGAAAAATGACTATAAAGATAGATAACCAATTTCAAAATAAATATAAAAGTTAATTTAAATGAATGAATGAAAGAAAATGAAAAGAAAACCAGTAAAAAAATTGTCAACTATTTTAGAAATTGCAGAAAGGAAATAAATGAAAATATAATTTTTAAATAATGTCAGTCTTTTATTTCCTTTTAGAAACGAACTGGAAGCTGTGAGAGAAGAGCTAAAACAGAAAGGAGATGAAGTTAAATGTAAATTGGACAAGAGTGAAGAAAATGTATGTTATATTTAACAGTAGATTGTATCACAAAATTTCAAATCATAAAAGCAACACCACATGTTTAAAATAAAATAAATTGAAGTATACTATCATATAAATTACAGTGATCTAGTGACTGTCATAGACCATCAATATTAAAAATCTAGGAAAAGATGGATTATTTTGCTTATATCATTTATATCTGGAAGAAATAGTGGTATAATTCTGAATTTATTTTAATAAATGTGCAATACTTAGTATAGACTTACATTTAATAAAATGCTCATGTTTTAGTAATATGGAATATACTGATAACAGATTGATTAATGTTTTTGCTGTGCTTTGGTGAAAATGATTTCAACAAGTTGAGATAGGAAGAAGGTTTTTAGGAAAGAATGTTGCAAAAGTGGAATAATACAAAATCTGTGAATGATTATAGTATGTAACATACAGAGTGGGAGAAAAGTGTTCCAAAATAGAAAGATCAAGCTAGATTATAAAGGCTTTAATTATGTTCTTTCATTATTCAACAAACATCATTGACCACTTACTATGTACCAAACGTTGTTCTGGGTTCTAAGTTTGGATTTCATTTGTTTTGGTAAAAAGTAGTAATCTAATTAAAGTTTTTTTTTTCTATTGGGGAAGTGACACCTTTTAATATTTGAGAGTGAAATGAGGAGAGATGAAAGACATTGGAATAAGTCTTGAAAGTTCTAAAGAAAAAATTTTGAAGAGGATTCTGGTTTAGTTCAGTTAATGTATTTATTCCTGAGCCAATAGTTGTTGCTAGGGGATACAGTATAATCTGGCCAAGCCTAAACTACATGCCTATTCCTAGAGATAGAGTTAGCCCCCATCAAACTACTTGAACTGAGTAGGACTACTGTGGATTTTATAGCAAAGGAGTCCTTGCAGGAAATGGTGCTGGCCAGACCAAAATGTAAATCCTCTGTATAACAGGGGTCTCCAATCCCTGAGCCACAGACTGGGCCATGGACGGGTACCGGTCCTGGCATGTTAAGAACTGGGCTGCACAGCAGGAAGTGAGAGGTGGGTGAGAGAGCAAGGCTTCATCTGTATTTACAGTCAGTCCCCATCACTTGTATTACCACCTGAGCTCTGCCTTCTGTGAGACCAGCAATGGCATTAGATTCTCATAGGAGTGCAAACCCTGTTGTGAACTGTGCATGCATGGGATCTAGATTGTGTGCTCCTTAAGAGAATGTAATGCCTGATGATCTGAGGTGGAGATGAGGTGATGATACTAGCGCTATGTCTCATCACCCCCAGATGGGACTGTCTAGTTGCAGGAAAACAAATTCAGGGTTTCTATGGATTCTGCGTTATGGTGAGTTGTATAATTATTTCATTATATATTACAGTGTAATAATAATAGAAATAAAGTGTGCACAATAAATGTAACGTGCTTCAATCATTCTGAGAGCATTTCCCCTATCCCTTGTCTACAGAAAAATTATCTTTCATGAGACCACTCCCTGATACTAAAAAGGTTGGGAACCACTACTCTATAAGGATGCTATTGGAGCCCATAGAAAGAGCATCTAATCCAAGCTTGAGTCAGGGCAAGCTTCCTGGAAGAAGTGACATTCAGTTTGAAACCTTAGGTTAATGAGAATTAGTGAATGGCAAACTTAAACTCCATCTGTCAACCACTGGTGGTAGTAGAGAGAGTGGGTAAAGATGATGTAGGGAGAGTGAACGGTGGAGAGATGAAGGTGAAAAAAGATGAGAGTGGATCATTTAAAGCTGTTTAGGAGTTTGAAGAATAAGTTTTGGCCCGAGGATTGTTAAAATTATTACACTTTGGAAATCTATATGACTGTTGGAATAGTTCAAGGATAGGATGAGCAATCATTTTAAAGGGCATACAATGAACCAGGCACATTGTAGGTTCATTCTATGCGCTATCTTATTTAACTGGAAGTCATTATTCTTATTTTATGAATTAGGAAATCAGGTCTCCAAAGGGTAAAAAACTTCAAAAGTTTACGTGACTAAGAAGTAGTCGTGCTGGTCTTCTGTACTCTTTATCTGATACCACATCCTCTCACCCAAATGCTAGTTTTTTTATTTATTTATATTTATTAGTTAAATTCAACCTGAAATTCACTATTTAAAAATTTGTACCAGAGGCTACTTCAAAGCACCAAGCTTGTTGTTTGTGATGGGAAAAAACATTAATATGATATTAATGTAATATCAAAATCTTCTATTAAGAACTTAAAGAATAACCTATATTACCAGTGTAGAAAATATTAATGGTGACTTAATGAAAAAAATGAAATGCATTACAAAGTTTTGGCATATTTTAGCTTTTCATGCTTAGATTTCAACTTACTGATTGAAACAGTTTCCCAGAATGAATCCAAGTTGCTAATATTTCTGACATATTTTGCCTGACATTGAAATTCATTACACTCTTTTTTACCCCAATCCATTACCTTAGCTCAGACATTTATTATTTTATGCATACATTACAAACTGAGTCTTAGTTTCCTCATCTCCAAAAAGGAGATAATAATACCTATCCTTTCTACCTTGTTGGGTAGTTGCAAAGTTTGGATTAGCAAACATTTGTGAGAGGTATATATAAGAGATTATAAACATTTATATATAAGACAAAAAATTCAAGATAAACTTGGAAAACATAAAATTTTACACAGATAAAAATGATGAACATTAAAGTATAAACATTAAAGCAAAGATGAATTCTTTTTAAATTGATAGATAAAAATTATATATATGTTTATGGTATATAAAGTGATGGTTTGATTTATGTAAAAATTGTGAGATGATTTAATCAAGGTATTTAACCTATCCCTCACCTTTCATGTAAAGATGATTTCTTTTTTTAAAAAGGATACTGAAATAAACTGGGAGAGTTGATAACTTTTTTTTTTGAAACAATGTTTAACTTTTATTTTATTTTATTTTTTTATATCAATATTTTTTATTTTGATATTGTGGGGTACAGTTTAGGGTTAGGTATACAAATATGCTTCGTTCAGGCACCCTTGTTGATAAGGGGTATCTCCCCAGAGTTGATAACTATTTTTGTACAAATATAAGTCTAAGTTTTCTGATTATATTTTTAAAAGATAGAGAAGAAATTGGACCTTTTGTTAACATTTTTAATCTGATGTCATTTTTAGGTTCGAAGCATTGAATGTGAAGTTTTAAAAAAAGATAAACAAATGAAGATATTAGAAAACAAGGTATTATCAAATCACAAAAAACGTTTGGGAATAGAGACTCTAACAATGTGTGTGTTGGACCTGGATTCTGTAGGGCCAGTCTTTATATTGTCCTGTACAAAAAAATGTCAATTTTTCTTGATGGCTTTGAGGAGTTATGTAAGATTTTTACTGCAGGTTTCCTGAAGAAGCTCAATGAGTACAAGACAGCTTTCGGTTTTATGCAGTGTTTCAAAAGGCAGTGGCTCATCAAACTCTTCTTTAGCTCTTTCTTCCTTTCTCCCAAATAGCATACTCTTAAGAAGCTCCATTTATTGTGGAGATACTGAGGGTGACCAGCTGATTTAGAAATCACTCTTAGACATTTCTCCCATTCTTGCTACTAAGAGAGCTAAAGAAAACCTTTTGCTGTCTTCATGTTTTTACTGCTGGACTGCCCATCCCAACTCACTTCTCCCTGCTCTGTGCACCTCACTACACACTTGTCCTAGGTTTGACCTTCCATACAATAAACAATTCTCTGGAAAATGTAGTTTACTTTTTGAAATTTTGACTTCTAATAATATAATTTTCTTCTACCTGAGAATTCTGGTAAATAAAATTAATCATTTTTATGCACATTAATTTTACTTAAACATGAATTGTAATATCTTAAAACCTCTTCAAGGATTTCTGGGCATTCCACCAAATTTATTTTCAATGTCTTTAAATATTTAGAAGGAAAGAACTGTTTTAATAAAGGCCATATAGTCTTAATTCACCTTAAGTATGAAGATTATTTAGATTTAAAAGGGATGAAAACTTAAGTTACCTGAATTTTCATTCGCTTATACAGAAAGAAGGGAGAGAGGGATGATTGGCTTGGCATGGGGCAGTGAAAACAACCTCTGAAGTTGATAGCTCTGATGTCATTATCATGTTAGTATAAATATGTACTTTTTCAGGCTGTGTAGTAATACCAGTTGTAAAGGTGGAGTTTTAGGAAAAACTTAGCAGGAGAAAGTTGTGGTACTCAACATGAACTTTCAAGAGAATGCATTTTGATGACCTGAAGACTGGAGGACTAAGAGATACATGCAGTGTGTGTTCTGTTCAGCAAAGTAATAATTTGATGATTCTTGAAACTGATATTCTTTAAATTAGTACAACATTTATTTGGTAAGGCCAAGAAGTAACTATTTTTCTGTCTATTGAGTTTAAAAATTCAATTAAATTTTTCATTGCTACAAGTTCTAATTAGTTCTTTTTAAAATCTGCTTAATCATCTTTTAAAGTCTCCTGTTTCTTGTTGATAGTTTCAAGTTTTTAATTTCTTAAATATGCTTATTTTATATTCTGTATCTGATAATTTCAGTATCTGAAAAGTTTCAGATCTGATTCTGCTGTCTGTTTTTTTTCTGCTGTCTTTTACTTTTTGAGACCTACTTTCAGGTTTTTTATGACTCCTTGGAATTTTATCTGTGGGAATTTTATATCTTCCCGAAAAGATATTTTTGGGAGCACTTCTAACCAGGGACCATTTTATTGTCTCCATTTGAATTTTTCCTGAACTATACTGGTAGCATGAATTCAGCCTGCAAACTTATATAAGGCTAGCTCGTGGTTACAGATTTTCAAGGAAGATTTTAATCCCCTTAATCGGTTCCAAAGTAAAGGCAGACAAGTTTCCTTACTATACCCTTCTGTGTGTCAGGTTTATTTCTTGTTGATCCTTTCACTAAGCATGTAGTTTTTTAAGTTCCTGGCTTAATGCAGGGTTGTCTTATTGGAGTTCTACCTTTAGTGGACTCTAAATCTTGCCTCATATCTCCCTTACCATGAATGAGTTCGGCGTGACTTCCCTTAGGTCAAATACTGGGTTTAGTGCTGACCTGAAACCTATTATCACTTTAAAGTGATAATTTAAAATAAGCAGATTTCTTACTTTCTAGACATTTATTTTAATATTTTTATTAAGAAGTCATTCTGAAGATCTAGGTGACTTTCTGCCAAAAATGAAAATACTTGTTTTTTTTAATAAATAAGAATAATATACAAAATAGTTTTACCTGCTAATATGTTTATTATATCAGTTAAATTGGTATGAAAGTTCATGAAATGCCTCTTACTTTGTATAGCATTTCTTCTTTAGTTTTCTTTTAAATTTTTTGAAAGGGACCATTTATGGGCATGGTGCATGTAACAATTAGCAGTGCCATGTATTATTCAGTTTTAGATATTCGCTGACTATGACTACAAATGATTGTTGCAAGAAAAATATTTTAAAAGTTTTTCATGGAGATTTTTATCCTACATTGATGGAAATTAGGACAATTTATATATCTGTGATGTTTTAGGACCCCTTAGAAATCTGTGCTGCTTTTATGGTACTCCAAATATTTTGGGGGCTAATATCTTTTAATCCAGTTCTGCATGTGTGCCCAGATAAAATAATGTCAAAAAGTGAGACATAAAAAAGTAGGTTAGCTGATATTTCAATAAGAGAAATTGGAATGTAGAGAGAAATAAAGTATCAAAGTATTTTCTCCAAATATAATAAGTAAAAGAGAGCTCAGAAATTAGGAATAATAAGTAAGAAATTGGACAAATTATAGTTTTTCTTAGATCTGACTGCTACTTTTCACAATCTAATTAATAATATGATTCAGCTTTCTATATAGGATTGACCAAGAGGTGCATTTACTTAAATAGTTGAATTCATATGTCCTTTAAGTAGATTAATAAATGTTGAGAATTTCAAATTTGTATAGAGATAATCTTTCCTAAAATTTGTAGTTTTTCAAACATATTTTTATGTTAATGGAGTTATTTGCAAAATGATTTTAGTATGATGTAGTACAAAATGATTTGCAAAATGATTTTAGTATGATGTAATACAAAATGATGTAGTACTTTTATTTGAAATTGCCCATTTTGACTGAAATACTGAATAAAATAACTATAATTTCTCATAATTTTTTAGTGTAACAATTTAAGGAAACAAATTGAAAATAAAAGCAAGCATATTGAAGAACTTCAGCAGGAGGTATGCACTGTTTACAAATATTCTCAAAATTAAACTGATATTTTCACTACAGTTTTAGAGAGTAATACTTTTCTTTCCTTTAGTAATTTAAGCCTAAATTAGTGGCAGTGTAAGCTTGAATCACTTTAGTACTAAGTATAATTCTTTATTTTTAACTTTTAACAGAATAAGGCCTTGAAGAAAAAAGGTTCAGCAGAAAGCAAGCAACTGGATTCTTATGAGATAAAGGTATTTGACTTATTTATTTATTATATTTTAGCATGGAGACAGGATCGTGCTATATTGCTTAGGCTAGTCTCAAATTCCTGGGCTCAAGTGGTCCTCCTGCCTTGGTCTCTCAAAGTGCTGGGATTACAGGTGTGAACCACTATGTCTGACCATTGTTTTTTAAATAATAGTAAATAGATGAAAATTTAATAATTTTATGTCATTTATTTATACTGTAATAGTTACTTTAAAAGATTGTTAACTTTTTGGATTGTGGGGTTTAATTCTTCTAGTTGTAATAGAGTGCTCACCTGTGATTTAGCTGGGTCAGAAGTATCTGAGCAGCTTTAAAAAAATTGGTGTGTGTGTGTGTGTGTGTGTGTGTATGTGTGTGTGTGTTCCTTACCTCTATATTAAAAAGTGAGAGTGAGAAAGTTTGGAGTGAAGCCTTGGAACCTACATTTTAAAAATCTTTATATGTTGTTATCATGCTGCACAAAAGGATCAAGAACCAGTGACTTGGGGAAAACAAATTAAAGCCTTACTATGTAAGCTCTTGATAGTAAAGACATATTTTGTCATCTTATTCCTGAATCTTTGAACAATGACTGACATTTAGTAAGTACTTAAAATGGGTTTTTAAACACTGAATGGAAAGCAGTGGTTTTCACTATGTTAAGTATGTGTTTAATGGGGTAAACATAAAAATATTATTGTTTGAAATAAAAAATATGTGAATGTTGTGATTAAAAATTAAGATAGTTAAGAACTTTTATAAACCAATATATAGAAAAATAGTAGATACATATATCCTATAATTCATCGTTTATTTTCCTATCTCAAGTCGGGAGAATTGAGCAGAAAATATTCATAGCAGCATTATTTTTAGTAACTCCAAAGTGAAGACAACACAGATGACCATCAATAGTATAAAATCCAGTCAATAAAAATGGCACCAAAATAACCAAGATACAGCCAGGCTCAGTGACTCAACCTGTAATCCCAACCTGTAATCCCTTTGGGAAGCCAAGGCGAGTGGATTGCCTAAACCCATGGGTTCAAGACCAGCCTGGGCAACTTGGCAAGACGTTGTCTCTACAATAAAGAAAATTAGCTGGGCGTGGTAGCGCGTGCCTGTAGTTCCAGCTACTTGGTGAGGCAGAAGGATCACCAGAGCCCAGAAGGTCGACACGGGTGGCTGTGAGCATGCCACTGGACTCCAGCCTGGGCAATGGAATGAGACTCCAACTCAGTAATAATAATAATAATAACAACAGCAACAACCAAGATGTTAGAATTAGCAGATAAAATTGTACCCTACATCTTTAAAATAAAATAAAAATTGAAAACAAAAATTAGCAGATAAGATCTTTTATTTGGTTACTTATAAACATGTACAAAGACGGAAAGGGAAATACGGTCATATGAAAGACCAGATGGGGAATCTCAGTGAAGAAATGAAAACTATGAAAAGAATCAAATGAAATCTCTAGAACTAAAAAGAAAAATATCTTGGAAAACAAAAAAAAAAGAACTTCAGATGATCCTAGTAGTAGATTTCAGACAAAAAAAATCAAGTGTTGTAAACTTGAAACTGGATCAGTAGAAATTAGGAAGTCAGAAGAACAGAAGAAGAGTTTTTTAAAAAGGAAGTAATTTCCTCAGTGACCTGTAGAACAATATCAAGTAGTGTCAAACGTGCAATTGGAGTCCCTGAATAAGGGAAGAGAAGAAATAATAGGACAAAAGAAAATTATTTGAGGAATTTCTCTAAATTCTCTTACATTTAATGAAAACCATAAACTTGTAGATCTGTGATCTTCAGTAAATCTAAAGCAAGAGAAATAGAACACCATACCTAGGCAGGCATCTCTTAGTCAAAGAGAAACTTTTAAAAAGCAGACAGAGAAAAGTATCACATTGCAGGACAGTGTCATAAATTATGACTGACCTTGTATAAGGACAATGAAGTCTAGATGACAAAGGAATGACATTTGTAATGTGATGAAAAAAAGAAACCATCAACCGAGAATTTTATATACCATAAAAAATCATATAATCGTCTCAACAGTTGCAGAAAAGCATTTGGTGAAATTCAGCACTTATTCATGATAAACAATTTTTTCATAAACTAGGACTAGAAGACTTCCCCAACCTGTTAAAGAACATTTACAGAACATCTACAACTAGCATCATACTTGATGGTGAAAGACTGAATACTTTCCCTTTAGCATCAAGAACACTGCTTTCAGCACTCCTATTCAACAATGATAATGTATTGGTTCTAACTAGCACAATAAGGCAAGAAAAATAAATCAAGATATACAAATTAGAAAAGAATATATGGCTGGATGTGGTGGCTTATGCCTGCAAAAGCTGCTTATCAAAAGGCATCCTTAAGAAAATAAGTAGGCAAGGTACAAAGAAAGAGAAAATGCTGACAAAACATTGATTTGACAAATCACATATATTTAGGATATGCAAATAACTCTTAAAACTGAATAATAAAAAGATACATATCCCAATTAAAAATGGGCAGAAAAGAATGACAAAATAACATCCTGGTTTAAAAATGGGCAAAGGACTTGAATAGACATTTCTGCAAAGAATGGCCAGTAAGCACATGAAAATATGCACAACCTCACTAACTATTGCACATCAAAACAACAGTGAGATGTCACCTCACACTCATTAGGATGGGTACTGTTGAAAAAAACAAAATAATGTGTGGACGCGGTTGTGGAGGAATTGGAATCTCAGCACTGTTGATGGAAATGTCAAATGGTGGCCACTCTGGAAAACAGTCTTGTGGTTACTCAAAAAAATAATTTAGAATTGCCATATGATCCAGTCATTCCACTTCTGGGTATATACCTAGAAGAATTGAAGGCAAGGTCCTGGAAAGATAAATATACACCCGTGCTCATCGTGGCATTATTCAAAATAACCAAAAGGTGAAAGCAACCGAAGTGTACATAGACGGATGAGTGGATAAGCAATGTTATATATGTTTATATCCATGGCATTCCATGCGATATGGAGAATAATTTGTGGTTTCTTACAAAACTAAACATGACCCAACAATTATTTTCCTAGATAATGTACTTAAAAGAAATGGAAACGTATCCACTAAAAGTCTTGTACAAGAATGTTTATAGTGACTTTATCCACAGTTATATTAACATGTTCATTAGCAGGAGGCTGGATAAACAAACTTGGTATATTTTTACAATTGACAATAAAAGAGACTTACTGGATACATGAATCTTGGAATATGCTGAGAGAAAGAACCTATATACAAGAGTGTATGTTTGACATAATTCTATTTAAATGGAATTTCAGAATAGACAAAACTAAATTATACAGACAGAAAGCAGAACATTGGTTGCCTCAGTGGGGAACTATTAGTCTGTGAAGAAACGTGAGAAAACTTTCTGTGTTATCGAAATCATATCTTTATATATGTGTGTATATATATATTTATTGTATTTTAAAGATGTGGAGTATAATTCAGCATTAGGTGTATTAGCGGTCATCATACAGGTAAAGTTTGAGCCACTTTTTGGTGTCCACTTTGCCTGGTTTGAGATCAGATACCCTTATTGATGTTGTGTTCCCCCCGCCATCCCCACCCTGGTAGTATCCCGCTACTGCCAATCCCATTCTCAAAGTATTATGGTAATTATTCAGGGTCTGCTTGAAGGGAGAACACGTGGTACTCTGTTCTTTTTTTCTGTGATAGGTCACTGAATATGACAGGCTCTAAATCCATCCAAGTGGTTGCGAAGTCCATATATTTGTCTTTATGGCTGCATAATATTCCATTGTGTATATTACCACATTTTAAAAATCTGGTCCAGTTTCAATAGGCAGCATGGTTGATTCCATGTTTTTGCTATTGTGAATAGTGCTGCAGGAAACATGCATGTGCAAGTATCTTTTTTTAAGAATGATTTGAGTTTCTCCAGGTATATTCCCTGTAGGGGGATTGCTGGGTCATATGGAAGGTCAATTTCTAGTTCTTTCAGAAATCGCCACACTGTTTTCCAAAGAGGTTGCACTAGTTTGCATTCCCACCAACAGTGTAGAAGTATTCCTTTTTCTCCGCATCCTCACCAGCATCTGTCGTTGTTTGTGTTTTTAATGATGGCATTTCTACTAGGGTTAGGTAGTATTATGGTTTTGATTTGCATTTCTCTGATCATTAGTGAGGCTGAGCACTTTTTCATGTGTCTGTTGGCTACCTGTATATCTTCTTTTGAGAATTGTCTATTCATGTCTTTTGCCCACTTTTTAATGAGGCTGTTTGGTTTTTTCCTTTTAGCACGTTTGAGGTCCTTGTAAATCCTGAATGTTAGGACTTTGTCAGATATGCAGTTGGCAAATATTTTTTCCCATTCTGTGGACTGTCTCCCCACTCTCTTGATGGTTTCTTTTACTTTGCAGAAGCTTTTCAGATTGATGAGGTCCCACTTGCCTATCATATCTCTTATGCATGCGCATTTGCGGTTTTGATCAGGAATTGGTTGCCAATTACATTTTCCATAAGGGTGTCTCCTGCATTTTCTAAGGTTCTTTTTTTTTTTTTGAGTTGGAGTCTCACTCTGTCGCCCAGACTGGAGTGCAGTGGCCGCTCCTGGCCACTGCAGCCTCTACCTGCTGGACTCCGGCGATCCTTCCGCCTCAGCCTTCCAAGCAACTGGAACTACAGGCACGCGCTACCATGCCTGGCTAATTTTTGACTTATTGTAGAGATGAGGTCTCGCCAAGTTGCCCAGGTGGGTCTCAAACCCGCAGGCTCAGGCAATCCACTCACCTCAGCCTCCAAGGCGCGGGATTACAGACTGAGCCACTGAGCCCAGCTTCTAAGGTTCTTGTAGTTTGAGGTTTTACGTTTAGGTCTTTGATCCATTTAGAGTTGATTTTTGTGTATGGTGATAGGTAGGGGTCTTATTTCAATTGTCTGCATATGGTCAGCCAGTTTTCCCAGCACCATTTACTAAATACGTTCTCCAGTTGTT